TGGTTGACATCGGAGTCAGAAATTAACAGTTTGGACAATGTTGGCATATCAGATATCGGCAAAAAGTGAATATTGGACATCCCTATAAAATATGCTTTTAAACATGAAATAAAAAAAGTATAAATAATACTTAAGGATTAGGAAGGTAGTAGCAGATGTCTTGACAAATAATACAAAAAAAAAAAATAGGTCCAAGTTATTTGGGCCAAACTATATGTCACATGTCTATTTGTATATTTTCACAAACCACATTTTATAAATTCCAATAAGTAAGTCAGTCCAGAAACATAAAAGTCTGGTCCTTTACAGTCCATAACAAAAACATGAAACGCTGGAAGGGATTTGCGTTATGTTGTTCCGCCGAATACACATTCTAATAACAACAATCAGCGTGGTTTTGCTACCTTGCCTTTTTTCCTTTCTGTATTAGCAAGTCGTAAGTCACTTGGTGTAAAAATAAGAACTGATTTGGTTCTGTTTTTATACGCCAAATTTTCTTTTTGAATGTTGACACAATTACTCTGCAGTTGCAAAGGCTGACCACAGTATGGCAGTGTTGGGTGATTCTCAGGCGTCCACTGTAGAGGCTTATATGGCAACACTGCCATCAAAACCTATTCTTATCATAGGAAATGACATTTTCATAGCTGTCCACTGTAGTGACCGTCATGCATGAAAGGGTTAAATGCAACTAAATGCAGTAATATTAAGCCAAGGCACCTGCAGCCCTGTCACCAACTCAGCATTAAAATGGCGCCACTTGACTCTTGTCTAATAATGGGTTTTACAGGGTGAACAATACGAATGTTTATGCAACAAGAAAATTGAATGTCATTGAAAGTATATATATATATATATATATTTATTTTTGTAATGCTGATTCTCACTTAAAAAATGTGTACTTTGGTGTCTGCAGGTTGCAAGATCAAAGCGTTGAGGGCCAAGACCAACACGTACATCAAAACCCCCGTCCGAGGCGAAGAGCCCGTGTTCTTGATCACCGGTCGAAAGGAGGACGTCGCGCTCGCCCGTCGTGAAATCATCTCAGCTGCGGAGCACTTCTCCATGCTGCGGGCGTCCCGCAACAAGTTGGGAGTGTCCTTCAGCGGTTCGCCTCCCACACCTTTGCCAGGCCAAACCACTATTCAGGTGCGAGTGCCGTACCGCGTTGTCGGGCTAGTAGTGGGGCCCAAAGGCTCCACCATCAAACGCATCCAGCAACAAACCTGCACCTATATCGTTACTCCAAGTCGGGACCGCGACCCTGTCTTTGAAATCACGGGATCGCCAAGCAACGCTGAGCGTGCGCGCGAGGAGATCGAAGCGCACATCGCCTTCCGAACAGGAGGCCTGCACGACCAGAATAATGAGAACGACTGCATGGGGCCGAGCAGCGGAAGTAGCCCGGCGGGCAGCAGTGGCGGTCTCGAGAGCCGGTTACCGCAGGTGTGGGGGCTGCAGGGCGGCCAGCGCAAGCCACTTACAAGCAGCTGTCGTCAGAACTTCTCAGACGCCATGGTGGTAGGCGCGGGGGAAGGCGACGTAGGGGGAAACTACAGCAAGTCCAACTTCTCCAGTTCCGGAGAGAAGACCTGCTCTTTCTTCGGATCTGAGGGAACCCAAAACTGGGGAGACCCCAGCTACCCCAAACAGATGGCCTTCTATGCCCAGCAGCGTTCAAAAAGCTTCGGAGGGCTCCCGCTACCGCTGACGAGACCCTCCACGGGCTTATCCGAGTCCTGCGGAGCGGGAAGCAACAACTCGTCAGTCACCAGCATCGTGCCTGTAGCCGGATCGCCCCACGCTCAGGCCCGCCGCGCCCACAGCGAGCCCACCTCGGCTGCAGAGGGGTTCCCGGGCCGTTTGCCGGTCGCGGACTCGCCGCCGGCCATGCGCGACTGCATGACCTGCTTTGAGAGCAAGGTGACGGCCGCCCTGGTGCCGTGCGGCCACAACCTCTTTTGCATGGAGTGCGCTATCCGAATCTGTGAGCTCAACCACCCAGAGTGCCCGGTGTGCCACACCCAAGTCACGCAGGCCATTCGAATATTCTCTTAAGGAACCAAGTTAGTTTTTAACAGTGTTTGTTCAAACAGTGTTTGTTCAAAAATGATTTACTGTTATTATTATTATTATACACATTTTTTTTAATTTTCAGAAAAAAAAATCCCCCCAAAAAAACAATCAAGCAGATATTTTAGAAGGCGCTGCTTGCTTTACTAAATAGTATAAAAATGTTTTTTTTTTTTAGGTTTGTAATTATATCTGTCTATCTATCTTCTCTTTCTCACTCTCTCTCTCTGTGTATATGGAGAGGGGGATAGGTAGATAGATGGATATATATTAAATCCATATATATTTTATAAAGTTTTGTTTATAAGAGAGGCATAGTACCCTGTATTTCTTTTTTTTGGTCTGCTGCCCCGTTTGGTTAATGAACGACGGCATCAGCAGAGCAGTAATGTGAATTTATATCGCTCAATTTTTTTTTTTTTTTTTTTTTTTTTTTTTAACATACGGTGGATTCATACCAGAGAAAGACTATTGTTGAAGTTCACCCTTCTACACCTGTCTGACTGAAGAAGTCAAATTTTGTTACAAAAAAAAAAGAAAAAGGGAAACGTTTATCGCACCTTACTCCAAAAAGGACTAAAATACGATTGTCAATCATGTCTGGGAATTTCAAAAAAAAAAAGTTGATCTAGGTCAGGAGCCTGCAACTTTAAACCTCTTAAGGAGCATTTTTGCAATTTTTCCACTAACAAAAAAAAAAAAAGAAAAATCCCCCCCCCAAGAGCTACAAACACATTACAAACATTTTAATGATGGCAGTGGTGTAGTATTTGACGATGTAGATATTGTAGTTAAACTATAGATTTAACAACTTAACGTGTTGTGCCACAAGAAAAAAAAACGATTTGATTCATCAGTCAAATACGCAAACGCAAGAGGTGACGTACGGATCGGCAGCCACGTGTTGCAGACCCCTGATCTAGGGTTCAAATTTAGCCATTTCACTTTGACTGTGATTGTGATTTGATACATGTGGTTAAAAAAAAAGGTTATTATTAAAAATTATAATAATTGCAAAGTAAGATGAATTATTGACAGAAAACGTGTATGGTCAGTGCACTGAAGAAGTAAAAAAACGTGGCCTGTTTCATCCTGTGGTTTTAAAGAGCCGATTCAAGCTCCGACAAAAAAAAAAAACCACACCATTTAATTAAACATCACCGAATCCGCAACATGATTTAATTGTTTGTTAAATAATTTGGCACTTCTTGCTCTCGTAGCACTTGGAAAGCACGTACCTTTTTTTTTTTTTTTTTTTTTTTTTTTTTTTAATGCTTAGCTCAAAGCGGTTGTGTAAGTTGTTTTGTGTCGTAAGACCTTGACATTCATCCGGTTGGCTGCGTTTGAAACGTTCGTCTCCCGGATAGACCTGTTTCAAAGCCACCTGACGAGAGCTTTGCCGTCAAGATGCTCATTTGGTTTCAGTTACTGGGTTGTTAGCCGACTAGCGGACGGTCAGAGTTACTGTCCACGCTCTTTTCTGACTCACTCGTGCTCCCGCTACGGATGATTAGGAGACTCAACGTTTGAGTCAAAACTTTAAAGCGTTTTCTCAGAACGGCCGACACCAAATTACATATTGTAGACCCGCGTTGGTCATTCTTGCACTACGGCGCATGTTTGAGTTGCAAAAAAAAAAAAAAATCCTGCCCCTGCTTTCTGCCCTCTAATTAGTAAGCTGTACAAAGGCAGGTCCTTTCATCGCACCAGATTTGAAGACTCGCTGAATCAACCTATCCTCATCGTCCTCAGCTGCTTACCGTTTGAGCAGTTGCTGCAGCAGTTTTCTGGGTCTGGGTTCGAACTGTGGACTAATGATAACCTAGACACGGCCTTAACAAACGAATTGATAATTAGGGCACATGGGCAGTTGCGGGTGTACTGTATTTTTTGGACTATAAGTCGCACTTTTTTTTCCCCCCATCCTTTAGCTGGGTTTGCGACTTATACTCAGGAGTGACTTTTAATTTCACATGTTTGTTATTTTCACCCCGACAGCCGCTAGAGGGCGCTCTAGGATCGCGTACCAGTAGCTACTACTCCTGTCGCATATTTTTTTTTTCATCCTTTGGAGCGACTCGTATATGTTTCTTTTGAGGGTCGCACTTTTTTTTTTTTTTTTTTTGTTTTTGGGCCTGGAGCGACTTTTTACTTTGGAGCGACTTATAGTCCAGCAGCCGCTAGAGGGCGCTCTAGGATCGCGTACCAGTAGCTACTACTCCTGTCGCATATTTTTTTTTTCATCCTTTGGAGCGACTCGTATATGTTTCTTTTAAGGCCATTTTTTTTTTTTTTTTTTTTTGTTTTTGGGCCTGGAGCGACTTTTACTTTGGAGCGACTTATAGTCCAGATAATACGGTATGCGGAATTTGGAGCCGTATTAGGGGCAAGATGGGTGAGCTGCACGTTGTCCCGCCTGTTATTACGATGCACCGAAATCTCCCCTTTTTCCTCTGCTCTTCTGCAACTCTCAGCTGTTTGGGTCTAAAATCCTAATCAATTGGAAAGACTTTGGAGCGACTTATAGTCCAGATAATACGGTATGCGGAATTTGGAGCCGTATTAGGGGCAAAATGGGTGAAATGGGTGAGCTGTCCCGCCTGTTATTACGATGCACCAAAATCTCCCCTTTTTCCTCTGCTCTTCTGCAACTCTCAGCTGTTTGGGTCTAAAATCCTAATCAATTGGAAAGACTTTTCGGACATTTCAAATCTTTTGTTGACATTTGCTACTGTCGAACAATTCGATGGAAGGTCTCGCACCAGGATAGCTCATTCCAAGTCCAAGTCTTCGCACAAGCACAGTGTGAGAGTACAGGTAAAAGCTACCGTTTAAAAAAAAAAACCCACTGTAGCCAGCGCTTATCCTACTTAGCCTACTGTACGGGCACATCCTGCAGCTGCACCGTTGCTGTGTGCTAGCGTCTCACTTTAGGCCTCCAGAATGACATCAGACAATGGTAATTGAAGAGAAAAGCAGAGGAAACGCCCCATTTGAGCAGCAGTTGGGCCGAGTTAAATTATACGCCCACGGCATCTGTCTTGACTTGGGATTTCAGAGGGGCCGTGGTGGAGAGGAGATGGGGTTGAGTTTAAAGCTGTTAAATGATATGGGGGTACATTTCAGTATGGGAAGGATTTTTTTTTTTTGTTGTTAGTGAGTTTTAACCTGCCTCGTTTGGTTTTTTTTTTTTTTTTTGTTAGTGAGTTTTAACCTGCCGCGTTTGGGTTAGCTCAGGCGTGGGCAAACTAAGGCTCGGGGGGCCGGATGCGGCCTGTTCAGCTTTCTAATCTGGCACCCATGCCAAACTGTTTTCGAATTATATAATTTATTATCTGTTGCCTGTTCAGCTTTCTAATCTGGCACCCGCCAAATGTTTTCGAATTATATAATTTATTATCCTTTTCCCTGCAATACCCACGTTTCCCCAGTAGATGGCGTAGAAGATGAAAGCATTTTAGCCATTTTAGCCTTTAATGCACTTGACTTTTGCATGTAAATTGTTCTTGGTTCATCACGAACGCTCCGTCTATCTGTTCAAAACTATCAGTTTTAGGACAATTTTTTTTTTTTTTGCCTACGTGTCGAAACGTTTGCCCACGCCTGGGTTAGTTCGTAGCGTTATGGTGACTCAGCAAGCCTTTTCTGTAGAAGAAAACATTTTCCTCCATTGCGTTATCAACCAAGGCAGAGATTCCCAACCATTGGGGTCCATTGTTACTAACCATTTATTTAAAAAGTAACTTTTGTTTTTTTTTTTTTTTCCCCCAATGACAAACTTATTCTTGACACATACCATGACACAAAATCTAAGCCTATGGAGAGCCTTCGTTATGGTGCAAAATCATCCTTGCATAATGTGTGACATTCAACTTATCAGCATCATTTCAATGCACTTTATTTTTGTTTTAAAAAATCAATCGTATTTTTGTGTTTTTTTTCGTTTTTTTCCGTGCACCTTTCTGACTGGTCCATGAGAGCTTTCTATTCCGTGGCACGAAAAGGGTTGGGGATCTTTGTTATAAAGGACATTTTTTTGATAGCGAAAATTTAAAAAAAAAAAAAAAAAAAGGTTAAATGATGGTTACTATCAATAAGCATTTACAAAAGTATCCTTTAGTTACCGGGGTCATGAAGCAAGTCACAGTGATCTTTAGAAACCAGTTTCTTTTACACCACGTACCAACGTTTGTCTCTCAAAGTAACCCTAGTATGACCAGCATTCAAATACAGGAGCACAAGCCTAAACCCCCCGACCAGTTACGCAGTGAACAAAGAGGAGAATTTATCTATTCCTTATTTTCTTATTTCTAATAAGATTATGAGGCGGTTAGTCAGCCAAAGCCACGCTGTACGATTTCATTTGAATTACCTTTACCGTGTTTTTTTTTTTTTTTTGCCAGAACAGTTCCGTTCAAGTTCCGCCGGGACACACACACACCCCCTTGATCTGTTTGTTCCTTACATTACAATGCGATTTGACCAATGTTTGGGTATGTTTAGACCTTTTGTTTTCTGCCTTAATCACATTTGAATACACATTCGTTGTAGCAACTTGGGCCTTTTCACAGTGACAACATTCAAAGTATTTATTTTTTAAAACTCCAAAAACAAATGTGAATCAAAATCCGAAGGGATTGAAGAAATTAGGCCCCTTTTACTTCAAATATCCATTGAAGCACCTTATTATGAATGTGCGCTTAAAGAATACCAAACCCCGACCCCCGACCCCTGATGGTGACATTCGTCAAATTCTGAAGGCGTGCACATAAGGATTCCCTATCACTGTTTTGTTATTTTGCCAGTTTTTTATTATAAGTACCAGTGTAGTTGTAGTTTCTTTGGGAGAACTCTTATCCTTTTTCTAAATGCTAACTTTTCGACGTCGGTTTATAAAGAGAGACAGAGAGAGAGAGAGAGCAGATCAGAGTTCCTTCCAGTTTAGATGCTGTAAAAGTCATTTTAGTATTGTACTCTATAAAGAAGCACTCGAAGCATTTATGTAAATATGTCTGTATTTGTGACGAGAATCAAAGAGCCGCCGTCGCCGACGGTTCGGTGGTTACTTTAACGGACGACATGATCAAATTGTATTTGTAGAAGCCTAATATCTGACCTGTCGTCCTTCGACAAGAGTAGTTTATTAGATAGATTCATATGCTTAAGAAATATAATTGAAGCGGAAGCTAACCGTTGTCGTTCAGATGTCTAATCGAGGAGGTAGCCAAGCATTTTAGAAAACACTAATGACGATGAGCCTATACGGAGATGCTAACGTATGATTTTTCGAGCAGATTTGAAAAGTTAAAAAAAAAAAACAAAACAGTGAAATAATAATAATAATAATAACAAGTGAATTAACCGGTAAATGTGTATATTAGACAGGAAAGCAATAATAGTAATGGACTAAACAAGTCGAAATGAAACTGTTTAAAATATACAGCGAGCATTGACCACCATGATGTCGTAAAACATCGCTACTTTTTTTTTTTTTTTTAAACTTGTTACATCAGCGATTCCAACCACTGTGCTGTGGCCCAGTAGTGCGCTACTAGAGACCATCGTCGTGGAATATTGTCCACTTTAAAAAAAAAAAACTATTATTAATTCAACAATTCAGTACTCGTCCACTAGGCGGCAGCAGAAGGCCCTAAAATTTTAAATAGAGAGTCGGAACTGTGGAGGATCTTTGAGGGTTTCTTTCTTCAATTCCTACCAGTATATCAGTCTGGAGTTCAACTAAACAGGCCAAGGGATTTTTCTTGTATAAAATACCGTATGTTTTCGTAGTACCAGGCGTAACCAAGCTAGCTGTTTCGGAGCACGTCGTTGATCTCGCCGCGTCCGTCGGGGGGGGGGTTACATACAGAAACCAAAGTGAATCCCGGAAACGTGGTGAGATTTCGAACACCGTTAAGATCGAGAAAAAAGGAACACGAGAGAGTACAGAGCTTAGGCTAGCATCGCAGCAGGAACACGAGAGAGTACAGAGCTTAGGCTAACATCGCAGCAGGAGGAGATCAGAGATTGGTTCCATCATTGTCTCACCGCAGATGACAAAATACTGCTTTTTTTTTACGATGAATACTTTTTGAAAATGGGTCTAGTATCTTTTGTTAATTTCCCTAATCTGTCGCATGTATTATGTACTTACTTTTTTTTTTTTTTTTTTTTTTTTTTTTTTTGCAGTATTGAGCTCAACTCTCCTGTGTTATTTAACTGCCCATATTTGGGCATAGAGTTTCAAGTTAAATTTTATAGTGGTTACACGCTGTGACTGTAAAAAGATCCAAAACCTCGGGCCAATAGACAATGGGTATGGATTGCTGCCAGGTCAGAGCTGAAAGTATCAAGACATAAGATTGGTTATTCCAGGAAATACAAGTAGTGTCAATGTAGCCTTGCTGGGTTTTTTTTAACGATACGTTGAGATGATAAAATTGGTTAATTCCTTTTTTTTTTAAATGAGGGTCGCACTTGTAGAGTGATGATTATGAATGTCACCTGTTTGAACCCTGGGCTGTAAAAATGGTCCATATTGAGTTTGCATGTTTTCCCAACGTGTCCATGGGAATCCACAGTTCACAATGTTTTTGATTGAGGATGTTCGATACTGTACCGAACTTTTCCGCCGATATCCGATC